TGTTCTGAGGCCAAGAAAAAGATCATGGAGAGATGTTAAGCAAACAAATTTGATTGCCATAAGTCATAATTCTCACCGCCCATAACTCGAAGCTACCACTGCATGATAAGGTGAGGCAGCACATTGGGTTCCAAATGCACTGACTTAGAATCTAGGAGTCGAAACCTGGTATCTGCATTTTTAACAAATGCCTCAGGGATGCTTTCTAAGTAGTTAATATAACACTGGTCCATAACCAACAATGGGGAACCAGTGATCCAGTATAAGGTCTGGGACAGCTATCCAGCTCCTAAAAATGGGAGCATCACCCCTTGTTATGTACACTTCAATATAGATTTAATCACTTACCCATGAAGAACGGTGGCTATTTTTTTCTAAATCTACAAATAACCAGAAAGTTAACTGCACCATTTCCTATCTCTTACTTTCTCTTCTTATCAGATGAATGAAGTTTAGTCCTCTAAGCTGGCTTTTCAGAGGATGCACCAGTAATATTACAGATGGACATATGTTTAATATGTCTTAATACAGTAGCCAGGCTCCAAGCAGGCCTCCAGTGACTCTTCTTCCTGATATTCATGCCCTTGTTGCAGGTCCCTTTTGTAATGTTGAGAACTAACCTGTACAGTCAATAGGACATTGAGGAAATGATACAGTGTGACATCACAGGATAGGTAACAAAAGACACTGCCACTTACACCTTTGCTCTTTTGGGTCACTTGCAATAGGGAAGCACCTGTCTCATTATTAGGACATTCAAGCAGACGTCCACACGCAGAAGAGGTCTTCTGCCAACAGCCAGCACCAACTCACCATCCATCTGAGTGAGCCATCTTAGAAGTGCATGCTCTCGCCCCAGCCAAGCCTGCAGATTACTACAGCCCTTGATATCATCTTTACTGTGATCTCAAGGCAGAACCACCCAGATAAGCCACTTCTGAATTCCTGATTCACAGTAACTATATTGACAATAAATGCGTATTATTGTCTTAAGCCACTAAGTTTCATGGTAATTTGCTACACAGCAGTAGCTTACACACCTAGTTTAATCCAAGAATGACATCAGAGCTCCAAACTTAGGACTCTGTCTGTGGTCATAACTGAGCAGGCATCCCAGACTTAGGACTCTGTCTGTGGCCATAACGGGCAGGTATCCCAGATAAAATTACTTCTTCCCTTTCTGTTTTAATTTAGTTCATTAAAAAGAAGTTTCACAATAGAGAAATTTCTCTTTTAAAGAGCCTTAGTAACAGTCCTACTGTATCAAACAGGATTGGTTTTAAATGAACATCCTTGTACGTCATTCTACTTGCCAGGGGAGTTGTGAGGCTTAATTAATTACAGATCCTTGCATGAAAGGAGCACGGAGCACTGAGAATTATCATCAAACAGGACCAGGGAAAAATGAAAAAAAAAAAAAAAAAAAAGACATTTTCTCTCTTTGCTTGCTAAATCCATTTCACCTGAGACGTCGCAAAGACTGAGTCACCTATTGTTTCCAGAATATTCACTTTTTGCTGAGTGTGGCATAGAGACAAGCCAGCATAGTGGCAGAACAGGGAGCCCCTGTCCTTTATCTTAAAATAGTCCTCTTTCCAAAAATAAACTCCAATGCTTCTTTTAGGGGACAGCATGGTCATTTGAATCATCTGAACGTTTCAGGAGGAACAGTGAGATGAAATAGACATGTGATCTAAGTCCCATCTAGCAGACTACCTCCACGTGCAAAACGCTTCCTAAACTGTGAGCCAGACGATACCCATGGACACGGATGTCTTCCCTGAGCAAGCCTGAAGTGGAGAAAAATATATTCTTTGAGTTCTTTTCAATGTTTTAATGACACTGCTTCTGCTAGAGGAAGCCCAGGAGAGTAGAACCAATTTTCCACATAAGAACAAAATGGTGTTTGGTAGAGAAGTTAGGTAGCACAATGGGAAAATTACTAAATTTTGTTGCCAAGATTTAAGAGTAAAAATCTGAGCTTTCCCACACACTCAACAAATGATCTTGGTTGAGTAAGTGACTTAACTTCCCAGATCCTTAAGTTCCTTACAGTAAAACGTAGCCTCAGGCTATCATGTCTTCCCTCCAGCCCCCACACACCTCCATATCCCAAAGACAGTGTCCAAGGAAGAGGCAAAACTAGTTCATCAGGTCATAATGGTGGGAGTTTCCATCACTGATGGGAACTCAGGCCTCAATAAGTAAGCTGTGGCCTAGATCTTGCTCTCTTGCTCTTCAAAGCTGTTTGAGACTTTCTCTTCTGATGCCTGTCTTCCTACAAAGCTACAGAATTCTAGCTTGGAGGGGCTTAGGTTCCATCTTTTATAGCCACTCCCTTTTCTCTGGGGATTCTCAGCAGGCATGCAGAGTTTGGTTTTCCTTACTAACGTAGTACATCAGAAAGGTAGGTTTGGCTTTCCTTTTAGGTTGGTTCAAGTCCACCCAGCTTCTCTTTGTGGAGCAGCCCAGTTCACCAGAATCCTGCTTAGTATTTGAGGGGCCTAAGCCCCAGCTAGCAATGGAATTTCCCTTTGCATTGTTTCACCCTGTCGATGCATAAATTTACCTTAGTACTTTCTGGTGGGGGGAGGGGCAGGAGGTGGTAGCCGGTCTAGAGAATTACACAAGTATGTCTAGACCAATGATATTGTAATTATGCCTGGATATTATCATTAACTGTATCACCAGGCTGTTGTAATGATTAAGAGATATAATAAGGGTAAAAAGGCTCATAAACATTCCACCATGGTACCCAGGTTAGTTTTTATTATAGTCCTAGGTGGGCCAGTACCAACCATGCCCTAAAAAAGCCCAACCATGCCCAAAAAAAGCCTGCTCAGTAAGTAAATGAAGGAGCCGGAGCAGATCTGAGCGAGACTTTCCTGACTTTGGCCACGGTAGGTGAGACCAAGAAAATGTCTGATGGTGATTGGGCCCTGAATTAATCTTGTTGATCCCATTAGGCCTAATCATGCTGACAGTCATTGTTGCATGACTTTGAACTTCCTCCAGACCTTAGAGCCAGAGGTGAATTTCTTGGGGGTGGGTGTGTGTGTGTGTGTGTTTGTGTGTGTGTGTGTGTGTGTGTGTTTGTGTGTTGAATGTGTAGGAGATGAGAGAAGGAAGAAAGGGAAGAAAGAGAAGAATGAAAACACTCATGAGTCATATACCAGTTTTATGTTGTTTACCAGATGTAACATGAGCTCTTCCAATAAGCTTGTTGATTTTTATGTGAGTTTCCAAGGACCTCAGGACACCAACTCTACTCTGTTCACTGTGCCAATCCCATGTTCTCCCCAGAGAACCATTTTACATCAAATCACATCAAAGCACTCATTCAGAATGAAGGCCTCGCCATTACACAAGCAAGAACAAGTCGAGGTTACCCAGGCTGAGTATAGGATAGGACTGGCGGGAAATTCCTGCTTTAGAACTAAGTCCTGAGTTTCAGTGTTGGTTCTGACACTTGCTATTTGACCTTTGGAAGGTTGCTGTCAGAAGTCTCAATTTTTTCCTGTGTAAAATGCGGATGTTAACACTTACCTGGTCCAGTTCCCCAGGACAGTTGTGAGGATCACATATAAAAGGATTTTTTATACTGAAAAGCACTTCAAAACGTGAAACACTGATACTAAACATTGTCATAGATGAAACCACATTTACACAAATACCTCTTCTTTATTTCCTCTCCCTCTCTATTTCTCTCCTCTCTTCTATCTTACTATCTGTCCACTGTATTCACTCTCCCTCCTCTCTTTCTTTTGGCCTCTGCTTATATCTTAATGTCAGATGAACACAATACAATCCATATGTATTGACCAACCCCATTGATATTCAAGACTGACATAAAATGGTGATTCCTCATGTAGAATATTTTTGGAAACTCTTTAAGGAAAGGTGTATGTCTTGATTATAGATGAGGTTTATGGAGCAAAGCCTCTCTCTCACTGAGAAAAAGAATCGTTCCAACTTCTCCTCTAATATTTTAAGTAATAACTTTGGTGATAGCTCTAAAACTGTTCAGATAAGAATCACCCACCCTTTAAAAAAGCGAAAATTCCAGATGCCTGAGTCTCATCCTCAGAGATCTGGAGTGGGACTCAGAAATGTGTCCTTTTAACAAGCCTTCTCCCACCCTCAAAGGGATTCTCATGCTACTTTGAAGAAACTCTGAACCTAGGGACATTGCCAGTGTCAGGCCTAACTGGAGTCAACTTCTTTCCTAGGCAATTAAATATTTCTCTGAAATACATGAGGCTTATGGAGGATAAAAATAAACTAAAGGAAAGTCAGAGAGGCCAGCCAAAAACCCCAATGATTAACGTCTGCCAAGAATGATTTATAAACATGGGGAAAAAAAAAACAAATATTCTGTTGTTGACTCAGTGACTGCCTACAGACAGATAATTGGCCCGCAAATATTTACAAGGCATTAACAACAAGAATATCAAGGAATTATCTAAGATGTAACAAGGTCAAAGCTCAGATTAATGGGGCAAAATCAAGGAAGACGCAGTTTTAGCTTTGCAATCAAGAAAAACACATACTAGTGTGTAATGCTCCCCTCCCTGTGTCCATGTGTTCTCATTGTTCAACACCCGCCTATGAGTAAGAACATACGGTGTTTGATCTTCTGCTCTTGTGTCAGTTTGCTGAGAATGATGGTTTCCAGGTTCATCCATGTCCCTACAAAGGACACAAACTCATCGTTTTTGATGGCTGCATAATATTCCATGGTGTATATGTGCCACATTTCCCCTGTCCAGTCTATCATCAATGGGCATTTGGGTTGGTTCCAGGAGGGGAGGGACAGTGGGGAGTGGGAAGTTGGGGAGAGATAGCATGGGGAGAAATGCCAGATATAGGTGATGGGGAGGAAGGCAGCAAATCACACTGCCACATGTGTACCTATTCAACAATCTTGCGTGTTCTTCACATGTACCCCAAAACCTAAAATGCAATAAGAAAAAAAGAAAGAAAAAGAAAAACACATGCTAAAATCTCAGACTGAATTTACCTCCTCAAAGGAAATGGTAGAAGTTGAGTTTTTCAGGTGCTGCTGTAGAGAAAGCTCAATTTGAATGGGACAACACGGGTTCAGATGGCACCATGACATTTTATACTCTATACGCCTTTTCAGGCCATTTCCCACCATCTCTAAGTGATACAGGATTAGCACTAACAAGCCCTTATGGTTCAAACACCAGGTGTTGATCCAGGTTGGGTCTTCAGAGTCCATAGGATTCATCCTCTGACTGCTCCTGTCCCCATGCTCCTGCTGGCACCCAGCAATTTCATGCTAATTCTGGACCTGCCAAAAGTTTAAAGAGACTCTTTCATAGTGCCTCCTTGCCATGGCTCGCAACCCTGAAAACACTGATTATTCACAGTGAAAATTAACTATCTAGGTCAGTGGTTCTCAATTCTGGCTGCATTACATTGTATTGCTTTTATCCAGACAGACTTCATTTTAACACAGATGCCCAGGTCCTATCCCAGACTCACTAAATAGACTCTTCGGTAGTGGGTCCGAGACATGAGTATGGTTCATAAGGCCTCCAGGTGATTGTAACACATGGGCCACAAGGAGAATACTGATCTAGATCGTGATTCCCATTTTGCCACACACTAGACTTCTTGTGAATATTTAAAAAAAAACAGGCTCTGTACTCAGAAATATAAGCGTAACTGGTCTTGGATGAGACTCAATTATCAATTTTAAAAGCTCTTTAGGTGATCTTAATGTGTAACAAGGTGAAGAAGGTTTTTCCTTGTGGGAAGAGTCCCACCAAGTTAAACTAAACTTATGTTCTCCCCCCATCTTTGACCTCTCCCATGCCCCAGCCTCCCTAATATAAACCCTACTTTTCCTGCTAAAGATCTCATCTCAGTAGCTTTGCCATCTTTCCTCAACACTCAAGCCCAGGTTCTTTGAAGTCATCTTTGACGCTCTCCTCTCCCACTCCCACACCAAAGACTGGCAGAGCATTTCACACATTCATTCCTTCCTAAGGCAGGATTCCTCTCACCAAGAAGGTCTGTGTCACCTCCTAATCTTATCTGCCCTGCTGGATTGATTGCAAAAATGCCTCCAATTCTTCACACATACCTATAACTGTATTCTTTAAATGGGGAGTTTGTAGCTTCTCTCATCTAGAAATAGACTATAGAGTCTACGTCCCCAGTCTATGAATCTGGATTGGCCTTGTGACTTGTTTCAAACAACAGAATGCCACGGAAGTGGTAGTCTTCCAGCTCTAACATTAGGCCTAAGGAGACCTTGCACTTGTCCATTTCTCTCCCTGCTTCTCTGTGATCAGCATAAGAATGTGTCCACTCTACCCTAAAAACAAGCCTCTGCCAACTTGCTGGAGATAAAGAAACCACATGGAGCAAAGCCAAACCATCTCAGATAAGGCTTCAAAGATGTGAGGGAGCTCAGCCACATCACAAAGCCAAGGAGCCCACCTGCAACTGACCAAAGATGAGACACAGCCCCGTTACGCCCACAAACCCTAAAACCCTATCAGCAGATCTATACAGCCAACCTAATACTCATTAGAAATAATAAATGGCTGGTTGATTTAAACTACTGAATTGTGGGGTGCTTTGTTACACAGCAATAGCCAACCGATACATCTACCTAACCAAGATCACTAACAATAATAAAGCTGCCATTAACAATAATAAGACCCAACATGGCAAAACCCTGTCTCTGCTAAAAATACAAAAATTAGCTGGGCATGGTGGCCCGTGCCTGTAATCCCAGCTACTCGGGAGGCTGAGGGAGAAGAATCGCTTGAGCCTGGGAGGCGGAGGTTACAGTGAGCTGAGATTGCGCCACTGCATTCCAGCCTAGGTGACAAAGCGAGACTCTGTCTCAAAAAAAAAAAAAAAAAAAGGAAAAACAACAATAATAATAAGACTTCTAGGATATACATATATTTACAAATAGGAGGTGTAGAACCATAAGAGGACTGAGAACCATGTGTGTCTGTGTGTGTGAGTGTGGGTGTGTCTGTGTGATCTAAATTTTCATACTGATAACATTTTTTAAATCATCTAGATAACCACTGCATAATCGAGTTCTGCTATGCAATTTCAATGCTCGCACTTGCATACGTGTCTACAGCTGCACAGTGGTGGGATATTAATAGTGATGGGCCAGTGAGGAAGAAAGGTGGACCTGATACATAGAAGATGTGTTCATGCTAAGCAAAGGTTAAATTATACCACAGTTCACTGCATAAACAATGAGTTAGAGTAGAGAAAAATGAGGGATGGCTGAGTCAACATACCACACTGAGTATGGGATAGGCCAAATTTTAAATAACCTGGGCTGCAGCAGTTAGTACCATATTCACATCGTTCATGAAGATTATTTTCATATTGATTACAAATAGGCCTATTAAATTAATATTGCTTCATTTAATTTTATTGTGCTTGAGTTATTTGCAATGTTTAAACTCATTTTGGTTTTATACCTGCAGCAGAGCATGAAACTTGAGAAATTTATAATAAATTTTATTGTTGTAAATATTTAACATTCTAATAAAAATAATTTAACACAGACTAGGGGGTGAGACCCTACAACTATTTCTTTTTTAACTAAAGATATTTATTCTGAGCCAAATATGAGTGACCATGGCCTGAGGCACAGTCTCAAGAGGCCCTGAGAACATGTAAACCAGGTGGTTGGGGTACAGCATGGTTTTATACATTTTAGGGAAACAGAAGACAACAATTAGCACATGTGAGCTATACATTGCTTTAGTCTAGAAAGGCAGAATAACTCAAAGAGGGAGCCTATAAGGTCACGGGTGGATCTAAAGGTTTTTCTTTTCTTTTTATTTTTTATTTTTTTATTTTTTGAGACGGAGTTTCACTCTTGTTGCCCAGGCTGGAGTGCAATGGCACAATTTTGGCTCAGCATAATCTCCACCACACAGGTTCAATTGATTCTCCTTCTTCAGCCTCCAGAGTAGCTGGGATTACAGTTATGCACCACCATGCCTGGCTGATTTTGAACTTTTCATACAGACAGGGTTTCTCCATATTGGTCAGGCTAGTCTCCAACTCCTGAGCTCAAGTGATCCATGCATCTCAGCCTCCCAAAGTGTAGGGATTACAGGCATGAGCCACTATGCCTGGCCTCTTTTTTCTTTTAAGTTTAGGGGTACATGTCTTGGTTTGTTACACAGGTAAACTTGTGTCATGGGGGTTTGTTGTACAGATTATTTCATAAGCCAGGTATTATTTCTTACCTTCAAAAAAGATCTATTCATCATTCATGAGATTGAAGCTCTATATAAAACTGGTCTAGCATCATTTTCACACTGTAAAGCTGAAATTACTACCCCCAATTAATGGATAAGGAAATAGAGAAGAGTTAAGTGGCTTGCCTAAAAACCTACCCCAAGGAACTGGCAGAGCGGAATTCTGACTCCAGGTCTGTCTGGTGCCAAAGGTCGTTTTCTCTACTTTGCATCTGAAAATACAGGTCAAGTCCACCTCTCTCTTTAAAAAATCCTCCACAGCACCCTACTGCCTTTAAATTAAATTTTAATTCTTCCACAAAACATCCAAGGTTCTCCGCAAGTCGTTAAATCACTTTCTTTTCTACATCTTTTAGCCCACACTCTATTCCAGCAATTTCGGATAGCTCACTTCTCAGCATCCATTTCTATTCCTTCACGCCTAGGAATGCTCTTCTCTGTCCATAGAAATCCTACTCAGTCTTCATGACACAACTCAAATGCTACTTATGCAGTCTTTTCTGATGCCCAGACCCCATCAAAACTCTATACTTATCCTTTTGTACAGACTCTCAGACACTGATTTTATTCCATTTTACATTATGACAACTTCTTAAAATGTCTCTTTCACCAGATTGAGAATCTCCTTCTTGAAGGCAATGATTCTATGGTTACTTTTTATTTTTATTTTTTATTTATTTTTATTTTTTTTTTTTAGTTAGGATAATACTTCCTAATTGAAAGTAAGTATAAAAAAAGAAACCTTAGGCCAGGCCCAGTGGCTTACGCCTGTAATCCCAGCACTCTGGGCAGGCAAGAGGGAGGGATCACAAGGTCAAGAGATTGAGACAATCCTGACCAATATGGTGAAACCCTGTCTCTACTAAAAATACAAAAAAAAAAAAAAAAAAAAAAAAAATAGCTGGGCGTGGTGGCTCATGCCTGTAGTCCCAGCTAGTCAGGAGGCTGAGTTGGGAGGATCACTTGAACCCAGGACACAGAGGCTGCAGTGAGCCAAGATAGCACCACAGCACTACAGTCTAGGGGACAGAGCCAGACTCTGTCTTAAAAACAAAAAAAAAAAAAAAAAAAAAAAAAACAACTCTTCTTTTCAAGTTGAAAAAATATATAAATAGGCAGCATAAGGAAGAATGAGTAATAACAATAACAGTTAATTCCTGTAGATAAAAGTCAAGGAGCATCTTGTAAAGGGGCAATACTGAACAACTGTGTTTTGCATAATGATCTGTATAAAATAATGGGTGGCTGGCTGGAGGATGCCAGTGTCCCTTGGATCTAAGTAAACGTATTCAGCAAAAATTTATGGAGTACTTGCTATGTCTAAAAAAATCCCGGCAACAACCATAATGATATTCAGGAAGAGAATTCTGTGGCCTTTATTGACCTCTCTCTCATATCTATGGGCGGAAACAAGAAACTAATTTTTTTCTTTCTTCTGTGTCACACCTAATATGCATCTGTATTTTTAATATAATTAATATGTAAGAGTAAATTAATAATCTGTGTGCACCGTCAGGGAAGAAAGAAAAAAATTAGTTTATTAATAAAAAGTCAAAAAAAACAAAAAACAAAAAGGAAATGCTTGTATACTGTTTGCAGGAATGTAAATTAATACAACCTCTATGGAAATAGTATGGAGATTTCTCAAAGACCTAAAAATAAAATTACTATTTGATTCAACAGTCCCACTATTGCATATCTACCTAAAGGAGAAGAAATCATTATATTAAAAAGACACTGGCACTCATATGTTTATTGTAGCACCATTCATAATAGCAAAGTTAAAGTCAGGGAATCAACCTAAGTGTCCATCAACTGAAGACTGGATAAGGAAAATGTGATAAATATACACACACATACCATGAAACATTACTCAGACATAAAAAAATGAAATCATGTTTTTTGCAGCAACATAGATGGAACTGGAGGCCATTTATCCTAAGTGAACTAATTCAGAAACAGAAAGTCAAATACACTGCGTCTCACTTACAAGTGGAAGCTTAACAATGAGTACACGTGGGTGTACCAAGTAGAATAAAGACATTAGAGACTCCAAAAGGTGGAAGAATGGGAGGGAGGGAGGGATAAAAAATCACCTATTGGGCACAGTGTATACTGTTCAGGTGATGGATACACTGAAAGCACAAACCTCACCACTATGCAATATATATGTAACAAAACTGCACTTGTACCCAGTTCCTGCCATTGTTATTGGAATTCCTCAACCATGGTGTCAGAGCAGTCCAGAATAAAAACAGATGCCCCTAGGATATGTTTTAAATTACAAGGTCATTGTCATTAGAACTGCCAATGATCGGAAGGAAAATACCACACCAAATAGAATTGCATTTAATTATAGCTATTTTTATTTATTTGTTTTGCCAAGAGATCACTTAATATGTAACAGTGAAGGGAAAGTAAAGAGGAAAACCAACAAAGCACAAATTCTCAGTTTTTAACAAGTAAATAAATTAAGATGTGTGATAAGGGAGCTGGAGAGAGACAGATGCTTTAATTAGCACATCCTGGAGTGCAGTCTAAGACAGGGGAAGCAGGGAAGGTCTTTTCTCATTGCAGTTTGTGTCAGTTCATAGTACAATTACCCTTGGTGTCTCATGCATTGAACTTGGATGTCTTGAATTTAAAAAATGAATGAGTCCCCCCATCTGCTTATCAGAGGAAACCCATAAACACAGAATGATGTGGCACCTGGTGACAGCCACCCTGGGAGACAGACCCACCCCTCTGCCTCTGAATGTGCCTGGTCTCTGCAATACAGAGGAGGGACAGCTGAAGACTGACATTATCACGACCATCCCAGAAGATTGCATGGATCAAGGCATCCAAAGGAGCCTCTGGGAATCTAGGGTAAGCTCAGCAGAAGACCAGGAAGCCGGGTCTACTTCCTAGAAAAGGAAAGCAAATGACCACATGCTGAGCACACTGCAACAGGTGTTGTGCTTGGGGCTTTATCTCATTCATCTCTCATGCAAGCCCATGGGGAAAGTATTACTCTCCTCATTTTGTTAGGAGAAAATTTAAAGATCACACCGCTGTTAAATGCAAAAGCTGGAGTTGAGAACCAGCTCCCTTTATCCCCAAAGCACTGCCTGCTCAATGGAAGAAAGATTAATCTTAGATCAGGTCTGACTTCAGCTATGCATAAATTTTATTTAGGAAGTAGTGTCTGGAAAGGTACACTTCAACTATTCTGCTGGCTAATCACATTTTCTGAGAGGAAAGTAATTTTCAGGATTTTGGCCTCAGCAGTTCTCAAAGCTTATGGTGACCCCAACATCTTGGGAAACCAAATAAAAAAATCCTTGAACTTACCCTGCACTCTTAAACCAAGTCAATGTGTTACATCTATACTTTTCTTTTTCCCACAGTTCTACAAATACCTCTTTCCCTACTTACATCAGGGCTCTGTTCTCTGACTAACTGGCTGGATGGATAAATGCTAAACACAGTCCCCCAAGGAAGAGGCATATGTCCCATTGCCCGAATTACCTAAACACAAACTAGGTTAGAACCTGAGAGAACATCCATTCAAAATGAGTTGCATACCAGCCATGGCAGCAGAATTTTTCATCCAAGGCATCTTTCCAAGGACGTTTCTTGTGTTGAAAATAAGCAGAGTAAAGGAACATCTGTGTGGCCACCAAGACACCAAGATACTCAGAGCAAAGCCCCTAGACTTGAGATTAGTCACATGGCTCTGAACAAGGTCTCCCTCTTCAATACAGCTTTTACTTGATTGTGTTTACAAGCAATTCTGTAATGACAATATGCAATTCTCTAGTACTTTTTTCACTGAGCACTTAGCTTCACAATGTTAATTAACAAAGCATCTCACACAGTTGCACTCACACAGATGCACGCACATGAGACTCACGAGAGTTGTACCAGGAAAAACGCTGACCTGCATTAGAACATTCAAAAGCCTTAGTGTCAGGATTCCAATTTGAACCTTGTTATTAGGGACTCGACAATCTATGTGTTAGTTTATAGACATTTAAAAATGTTTCCGTGAATATCTGTCTCTCAGTTAAAGAGTGTTTAGACATATGCCAACAGGCCTGATTTCAGAGATGTTTATCTTCAGTTACAAACAAGGCACAAATAAATGTTTGTGGAGGGAGGGAGAGGGGGAGGAAGAAAGTTAGAAAGGGAAGGAACAGGCAGAATGGGTACTCCCCTGGTAAATTCCTGAATTATCTTCAGATGCAAAAAGAAGAAAAAAAAAAAAACAAAAAAACAATATCATAGACCACTGGGCATCTTCCCAGTACATTAGCCACATACCAACTAATTATTGACCCAAGAAGAATCTCAGACCCAGTTCATGAACATTTTTCATTATACCTGATCTGTGTGCACGGCCAGCCTTATTTCTGCCTGTTCTGTACCTTTTAGTGCCACCTGCCCCTGAACATAAAGTAGCTCCCTGTGACAGTGTGAAAAACATATTTGGTCTTCACTGGTCTTTGCCAACTCCTCACCCTCCACCCCAACATTTTCCTGTACCTCTCCCAAACCCCCATTTCTGGCATACAGCTCCTAACACCCTATGGAATCTCCATAGTCTCTTTTATACGCCAATGGGAGGCCTAGTGGCTGGGATTCCTCCGTAGCTGCTGGATGGGGGCCAGAAAAAACAAGTCATGACTAGAAGTTTGGAACTTTCAGCCCTACCCAGGCCCCCACCTGCAGGAAACAGAGAGGGGCTAAATATTGAGTTGATCCTCGATGACAATGATGTAATCAATTACGCGTACGTAATGAAGCCTTCACAAAGTCCCCAAAAGGCAGTGTTCAGAGATCTTTCAGACAGCTGGACATGTGGAGGTTCCTGGTGGGTGGTGTGCCGGAGAGGGCATGGAAGCACCAAACTCCTCCCAACCTCCCTCCCACTCTGCATCTTTCATCTGGCTGTTGATACATATTCTTTGTAATATCCTTTATAATAAATGAATAGATGTAAAGTGTTCCCCTAAGTTCTGTGAGTTGCTCTAGCACATGAGTCAAATCTGGGGAAGGGGTTGTGGGAATTCCTGATTTATAGTCAGCTGGTTAGAGCACAGTTGACAACCTACTACTTGTAACTGGCATCTGAAATGGAGGACAGTCTTGTGGGACCGAGCCCTTAAACTGTAGGATTGGATGTTATCTCCAGGTAGACAGGGTCAGAATCTAATCTAATTAGAGGCCACCCAGCTGGTGTCTACTGGAGAATGGCTTGGTGGGGAGAAACTCTCACACATTTTGATGGCCAGGAAGTACTGTGTTGTGAAGGTACAGTACAAGAAAGTAAGTTTCTTTTATATGCTTATACTTCCTGAGTCAACAAACCAGGATCCCCTCAGCTATTCACAGCCTCACCATCACGCCACTCCATCACCCAATAAGAGAGTGAGGGGACACTGGGTTTTCCCACCATCACTTTGTAAGTCCCCCATCAGGCCCTTACAAGAAATAATCCTACAGGGGCTGGGGAGAAAAGGCAGAATCCTGCGGGATGACCCAGTCAGAAACAACAGAGAAAAGCCCTTCCGTGGGTTGAAATAAGGAGCAGAACGAAAGGTGGGTGAGATTCAGGGCAACAAAAGCAAACTTGGCATTCAACCAGCATCTCTTTCTGAGCACCTCATACACTGAACATGAACTCATTTGTTCTGCCAATATCTCCTTGAGATTGACAGCCAGGCAGGCCTTATGTTCTTCATTTTCAAGGAAGAGTACCTGAGGCACAAAGAGGTTAGGTAATGTATCCAAGGTCACACAACTAATCAGCATCCTCTATCTTTAGATGCCCTACTCATAGTTCATACACTTTTCCCATTATTCTCTTGATTCCTTTCATTTCAGTGGCAATAAAACATAACCAGATCTTCAGTAGAAACCCCAGTATGTTAGCCACGTAAGTCCACATCCATCTACCCACTGAATAAATGCAGAATTTGAAGTATAGGGCGCAAGAAAGAAAAGATCACCTGTGCTGGGACTAGAGTCCAAACTGACTCAAAGCGTAAAGGGGCATCTTCCAAGTGCCCAGGGAGCATCATTGGTCAAAACACGGAGTTGGGAGGCATCTCAGACTGAATCTATTCTGATGGATGATTCTGTTCTCCAAGCAAACATTCACCTGCACCATATTTCTTTTAGTCTTCTCCTTGGTTAGATGGCTCCACTACATCACTCTAGAGGAATTTGGGGAATACTTTCACAGCCAATGGTGAGGAGATATAACAACGGGCAACTATTCCCCTATTAATCCCTGTTTGCAAGGGAAACATCTCTAGGTTAATAGCTACAGCTCTCATGCATTAAAGATTAAATTGAGAATGTTGTTTGGTAGGATTAAGAACTTGCTTCGTATGAAAATCTTAAACCACAGAATTGCCTCGGAAGAGATGTTCTCCTTTTCCCCAACTTAGAGAGAGATAAAGATATAAATAGATACACAGATTCACAAAAGTAGAAAAGATGGAACACAGGAGGAAATGTGAAGAATATGATTTTACACAGCTAGAAGGGACTCAGGTAATAAACAGTGTAGTACAAACTGCCTAGGGTTTTACACCAGAAAACCCCAATTAATTAGCAATGGTTGCCTTGGGCATAGATTTGGAGAGGGGTGGTACACACATTCCACATTTTCCAAGTCTCTAATGTTGTCTAAGCCCCTCATTTTACATCTGAGGGTCCTTGTTGGAAGACAATTCTCTGTGAATGTCTCACATTTCTGTATGGTGTGAGTCCTCTGAGCAAAGGGCTCTATTGACATTTTTTACTAGGTTGGTTGCATAGTAAAAATTTTGAAAATGAAATAGAGTGTTTCTCTCCAGATCAGAAGACAGATTTGTTTCCTGACCAGTATAACAAATGTCTCCTTCCCAGAGACATTCCAGGATAGTTAGATCTCCTGCCTTTCTCTGAAGATGTGCTCACATTCTAGAGTAAGGATAAGGTTCTCTCTCTCTCTGCAGGGGAGAGTATGGGCAGGTCACCAGCAGCCGTAGATAAGGTCAGAGCATTTTCTAAATTGGGGAAGGTGGTGTCTTCTGCTTAATATGCTCCACTATATGTGCAGTTACCATCTGGCCCTTACCACATCACCTGTGGGCCTCAGGATTCAGAGAACGAATGCAAGAGGTCACCTTGATTGCTGTTTTTGCCATAAGTGATCAATGACTTTTGTGTTTGATCTAGGGTTTGTATCTTCTCTCATTATGTACCCTGATAGCAGCATGGGTATGTGTGTATGCACATACATAGATATATCTATACACACATATATATCCGTACACCCCCATATACATATATATAATATATACCTGTGGCAGATTAACTTGTTAACTTGCAAGTAGGCTGCAGTCTCAGATCCTTCATAGTTTCTAACTTAGCAATCCTAATTCTCAGTGCAATGTTCTTTCTGTTGAAGAACTAAAATGTGTCGCCAGACCATCTTAACCTGTTTTATATCCCTCAGCACCACCTGATCCTGGA